CATCATATAAAAAATATATATTGAATTTAAATCATATATATATATATATATATATATATATATATATATATATATATATATATAACCTTGAAAAGAATAGCTCTGTGTCTACAGAGTCCTATGGACAAGCTTCCAATCGGGACCAAAATGCCATTCTGAAGATCCCTCAGCCTCATGCTAGCCGATTCCCATCGTGCATGGAGATCATCTTGCTCAATAGGAAACGACCCCCTTAATTAAAATTTAAAATATATAACAATATCAATACATAAAAATTAATGCACAATAATTAATTAATTAATTAAGCAAAAATAATTCAATACATATATACCCCATTGTAGAAGCAACAAGTTTTCCAAGCTTTTCAGCCAACATGAGATTGTTTTCAGCAGAAAAATACAGGTCTTGTGCTCTATCTTCCAAGTCTCTGAGGCGTGAATCCCCATATCTATCCACAAGAAGCACCTCCATTGATGTAGTGCCTGGATTCACAGCTTTGAGTGAGAGTAAAGATGGCAAGCGTTTGCCTTCTTCAGAGTTGCTGCACATCATCCACATATACGGATCCATTCCCAGGATGTTATAGAACCCGTCTGATATCTTATCATTGTAAGATAAAGTACCATTAACCTGCAGATTCATTTTTCACAAACAAATTAACCATTAATTAATTAATTATCAAAACACAATAAAAGTTAAATGAAAATTTTATTCAAACAAATTGGAGCAATATATTAACATCAACAAATTAAGACTGGATATATATTTCTTCTTTCAAGACATGATCGATAACCAATTTAGTTGAGAAGGGAATATTTGTACGTTATACTTTCTGAAAAGAGTGGTTATCAATTATTCTTATATCTTTATATACCAACCCAATATTTCATACACATAAAAAATAACAGGAAACATGGATTTAAGAACACATTTTTGTTCTTTATCATCCATCATTATATATTGAGAGTAATTGATCTCTAATTATATCCTAATTCTATGGAATATTGACATGAAAATGATTCTGTTTTCATAGAGATAGCTACATTATAATTAAGTTTATGTTGTTTTAATCAACATATCATACTATTGATATTTTTGTCCAAAACTACGTACCTACAGAAAGATCAAATATCGGTTTGACATTAGACAAAAAGTTTTTAAAATATGTTCAAACTACAAACCAAGGTCACTCAACTTGGAGCCTCTCGAATATATTACTCCTCCAACCGTGTTACAGAAATATAACAAGTAACTTTATGTTCAAAATCTAACAATTTATAAAATAATATTTAATAATGAAACTTAAACTAATTAATGTGGTCCATATTTTATAATAATTCAGAAGAAAACAAATAATTGCAAATAGAATATTTGTTTAAAACTAAAGATGACGTTCATTATAGGACTAGAAAAGAGTAATACATGGAAAAGTTGTTAGTTGTGGATGCGTAGCATATACTCAAGATATATACTACGAATAGTCATGTCAATCACGTCCATTCTAATACTAGAAAATTGGCCTAATTATGGTCCGATTTAACCTCTCATTAGCTTCAAAGCAACTTTAATTTGCTTTTTAATCAATGATCGAAGCAACTTTGTATTTTGCACATGAAGAATACTTTGCTAGGTAGGTACCCTCATGCCAATTTCCAAATAACCACAAAAAGTAGAATTTCGTAACAATAATAATAATCATAAAAAGGTGTTTAAAAATAATATGTAGCGTTTAATTTCCTACATAAACTTCGATCAATAAATTATCATTTAAACTATATACGTTTATTTTTATGGTTTCTATCTCTGTATTGCATCTCTAGAAGCATAAGTTTGACTACTTAATTACAACCCAAGATGATTACAACCAAATTATCTACTTAATTATTAATTAATATGCTCTATATTCTTATCTAAATAAATAAAGATTAATTTTTTTGGAACCCCGGCCACAGCTAATCCTAAATGACTAGATAAAAACACACACTCACACATTATAAGAAGTTGTTTATTCTTACAACACTTAGTGTTTCCTTTGTATGAAGATAATGATGATATATTGTTTATATATAAAAAATAAAACAAATATAGCAATTAGAACAGATTAAGATACGTAACAAATTAAGAAAACATGTGTAAATTATATATGAAATGGAAATAAAAGCACATGAACTAAGCAAAATCAACGGATATATAATGGGAAGAAAAGAAGGATGGATGATGATTGATAGACAATCTAGAAAGATGTATATAGAAAACAAAAACCCCCCAATGATATTAAGATACTTGATTTGATATATAATCAAGAAAATTGTTTGAACTGTGCATGTAAAATAATTTACAAAAGAATATATAATATAGGTGTAAATGTATATCATTAAGTTATATGTAATTGTAATGATCAAATTGGTAGTTTTTTCTTGAAACTTTTCAAAAAAGGACTGCAACCATTATGGAAGACACTTTAGAGAAAAAAAGTTGTTGCAAATTGCATGAATATATAGCTTAAATTATGTATGTAGGGCGTCACCCAAGGCTGTTGTTTTCTGCAATTTCTATTTTTTTTATAGGTCCATACAAGATGGCCCAATTCATATGTGATGGAAGAATAAAGGATACACGATTGTCTTATCTAAAGACATAAAAATATGGACACGAAATGAAAGACTTCTATTTTTAACATGATCTCAAGGTCTGTATTTAATTAACGTAATTTCTCACATTTAAAAACTAAAAATCAAACGTTAATGCTTAAACAATGCGTCTAATAATTGAATTTTGGCTATATATGATTACCCATCAACCCACCACCCCGCTACGTACTTTAATTTCAAACCAAACCAAATGTGTAGAATACTTCTATTCAAATTCATCATCTAAATAATTTTTTTTAAATAAAACATTGATTACTTTTGCAAATAAAAATATAGTTAAGGGTATCAAAACTTTAGAACAAAACTAAAAGAACAAAAAAGGTACGCAATTTTTTTGCCAACAATTATCATTTTTAATGATCGAAAACTATAGAACTGATCGTTCCCAATATAAGCTCACTAATTATACAGGCCCCTCAAATCTGTGACTATTTAGGATAAGAACTATATATAAATCTAATTAATTAATACAAGATTTGGTTTGGTATCAACAACCAAACCAACCCAATTAATTGTTTCGATTTTTTTTTTTTTTTCCCAATAGAAAACTCTTTATTTTAGAAAGCAATCGTATCATCTTGATATTAAATTAAAAGTTGTAATTATTTAAGGATGAAAATAGGACAAATTAATTTCAAGTGGTGGTTGATGGTGCCGGACTGCCGTCAACTTAACAATCAGCGGCGTAAATTTTTTTTTTTTTTTTTCTTAAACGTGTATGTACCACATCCATAAAGCAGAACAAGATCGATTAACACTAAAATGCAAAGATCATCGGTAAATCAATGAAGTACGGAAGTAAAGAAGGAGAAAAATCATACCCATAGACGATACGAAACAGACTCTGCATCATAACACGTCACGGCAGGACCGCCACCACCACCACGTCCTTGTATAAGTGTAGGCTCGTCACCGATGGTTGCTTGATGGGTTAACCGTTTAGCTAGCGTAAGTTGCAAGTAATAACTCTCACGCCACCTTTGGACAAGATTCCGACGACCATCATCTCCATCACCACCATCACCACCATCACCATTCCCCACCATCACATCCTCCTCCCTCATCCCTATCGTCTCCTCCGTTACCGGATCCTTATAAAAAGCAGCAGAACTCGACGTAGCGATCGTGCCGGAGAACAAACTCGCCGCGTAACTACTTGCGGCATCACTGGATAACCTCCGCAGAGAAACCTGTCGATCACCAATGCTTTTCTGTGTGGTTGGATGATTAAAATCGGCGTCGGAGACGTGACTACGCCAGTCGTCGTCGACAACATCCTTCACCGGCACCGGCGAGAAATGTTTCAAGTCGTTGTTGTTCAGCCTCACGTGCCCGGAGCCGGAAACTGAATCACCTCCGGAAGTTTTTTTCTCCACCAACCAATTTACGAAAGCAGCAAGTTGCTGTTTGGTCTTCTTCCCGTGGCTCCGATCGCTTTTACAGCTATTAAAATGGTGCCGTCCGGATAGCAAAGCTGTATGTCCATATACATGATCTGTATTCGTGACCCTATCGCTATCGCCTGCGATCATGAAACTTGAAGTTTCTTTCGAGATCTTCTTCTCGTGATCTTCAGCTATTGATAACGAATTCGTGATCCCACCGCTTTCGGGAAATTGCCTCGGGAAAATGTAAGTTGTTCTATGCGGCATTTTCACAAACACCTATAGGTTGTTTTATGTAAATAGATCGAAAAGGGCCAAAAAAAAAAAAAAAAAAAGTCGAACTCTCTTTTTTCTTCTCTCTATCTCTATCTAAATCTAGCACAGATCCTATTCTCTTGGTCGGAAGTTAACAGCACCGGTGAAAGAAAACTGATCGTATTTCTGCAGCAATTTTTTACGTGTTGTCGACTTGATGAACCGCAGCAAGGAACGCATTTTCCCACTTTGAAATAACCAAAACAGAAGTACACAAAAATTCGCGCGTGATGAAACTGCTTCTGATCTTAATCCAAATCACGAATCTTCATCATAAAACTCGAAATTATATATATAAGCTTTGCCAACAAAATCTAGCTACGCTTAATAGTCGTGAAGCAAGAACGGACGTACGTAGGATCTAGTTCATCAACAAATTAAAACTGATCCTAGCTATAATCATGAAAACAAACCACTATGTATGACAAATTTATGAGAAGTGAAGCTTGAAGGATGAAAAGATAAGTTGATTGGTGGATTTGCAGAGGACTCGCTTCAAGAATGGAATAGCAGAGACTGTCTGGGTTACTATAAATAAATAAACAAAATAAGGCGCAGGTGATAAGGAAGACAGATTGGTATGCACAACCGGCGTAGGTTAGACGGGGTTTCTAATTGGAGGAAAGGGCGGCTGCATCGTTATTTGGAAAAAGAAAAAAAATGTATTTTATCTAGTCTGGAAACCGCCGATTCATTTGTTTAAATTAACTGCCATGCAAATAAAGCCACGGGTCGGTTTAGGTCGGGTCGAGTCTGGGCCGATGGTGTTTAAAGTGAGTTTTTTATTTTGGGTATTTACTAAAAGCCATTTGGTCTCATGCTATGTTTGACGTAGCTGTTAGCTAAAAAGCTAGCTGATAAAAAATAACGTTTAGTAAAACTAGCTGAAATATATAAAATTACATAAAAAGACATGTATAAGTATGCGTTTCTATAACTAATTAAGGGGTGTATTTGGAAAATTTTAAAAAAGCTTCTAAAAAGCTAGTCTAAGGCTGTGTTTGGCGCGCCACAGCTAGATGATAAACTAGCTTATTTTTCGAGTTTTTTTTATGTTGTCGTGTTTGGTAAGCCAAAAAGTAGCTTATAAGCTAGCTTTTTGAAAAGCTACTTAGACTAGCTTTTTAGGAGCTTTTTTAAAATTTTCCAAATACACCCCTTAATTAATTATAGAAACACATACATTTACATGTCCTTTTATGTAATTTTATATATTTCAGCTAGCTTTTCAGTTAGTTTTACCAAACGTTATTTTTTATCAGCTAGCTTTTCAGCTATCAGCTAGCTTTTTATTTAACAGTTAGCTTTTCAGCTATCAGCTAGCTTTTCAGCTAGTACGCCAAACATAGCCTAAGTAGTTTTTCAAAAAGCTAGCTTATAAGCTACTTTTTGGCTTACCAAACACGACAACATAAAAAAGCTCGAAAAATAAGCTAGTTTATCAGCTAGCTGTGGCGCGCCAAACACAGCCTTAGTGGTAACAAGAATGTTCGAAAGGTGAAGAGGTCGAGGGTTCGTTTTTTTGGTGGACAAAATGTATAAATTACAAATAGGGTTAGATAGGTGTATGAATAGCCATTCTAAAAAAATTACAAAGCATAAATTTTCTCCAAAAGGTTCAATTATGAAAATGAAATTGACTATATGAACCTTTGTTTTGGCTTCACATATCACGCCACTTTGTAGTTTATTATGGATAGGTCTGAGGAAGTCCGCATGCATCATCCAAGTGTATTTAACCATCACTCAGGTCATGTATGGTCTCAAACAAAATTCTTATGTCTAGTTCAAAAGATCAAGAACCACTATTATTTAGGGCTAAAGTATCAGTTTAGTTTTACTCAAACCGTGTATCAAACCAACTATAGTTGGTACAAATTTTTTGCTATCCGTACCGTACCAAGTATATTTGGTACCAACTTGTTTGACTATCAGTAAGTTTGGTTGATACAAACTGATAATAGTATATTACCAACTACTTTCTAATTTTGGATTATAATAGTTAAGACAAGCAATGCATGGGACAATTTTCTCGTGTAGTAATAAAAATTAGTAAATTAACTATTTTAGTTACTAAAGATTTTTACTTAATAACTTTTCATTGTTTTTTTAATTTAATGTGGTAATAACTAATGATTACTCCTAATGGTATTATCATGCTTTTAAAATTATAAACAGTAAACATACATGACAGTTGAAAATACGATTTCTTATATATATATATATATATATATATATATATATATATATTGGTTGGTACGGTAATACCGTAGTATTTACAATTTAATACCATTACCGTACCAAATTTACTGAATTTGTACGGTACTACCAACCAAACATGTTGGTTATCAAACATATTGGTAACCAACTTTCTTTGTTCGGTTGGTAGCATGTTGGTTGGTTCTCCGTTGTACATATTTGACAACGCTACTATTATTTATATATGTTTTCTCATTTGGTCAGGACTCTTCACTCCAACTATGGATACCAATACCATTCTTCTTATACTATATGGTGTATCCTTACTGGAAGTGAAAAATGCATGCAATACAAGTCTCAAATAGTGACTTAACTCCTGTATAAAATAAAGACTTTAGAAATTTACATTTATTTGTTCGCTTTGAAGTTTATCCTGTACACCTCGAGTTTATTTTGATAGGATAAATGTGTGAGGAACAAAGAATTAACTATATTGATGTTTGTATGTGAATCTATGAGTCACACACTAAAAAGCATAGAATAACACTTATAAAACATAACACTTATAGAGTATAAATTTTATTAGGGGAAATGACACGAATGTCTTACGAACTTTCTAGGATTTATCCGTTGAGTCCCTAAAGTTTTTGTCGGACTTTATGGGTCCCTAAACTAGGATATGACCTGCTCTTTTAGTCCCTGTCAACCTGTAATAGCCGGTTCACCATGCCACAATGTCCTTTTAGACCAAAAAACTCACATTGTGCCCCTATAAAGCCAAAAAATAAGTTTGGGGATCAATTCGTACAATAAAAAATCTCATCCTTTTCTTCTAAAGTCGATTCACACTCAATTCGTACCCTCCCAAGAAATCGATCGATGCTCTTCTTTCCATCTTCACCCTCAATCGTCACACACACTCCCCGAAGATCACAACCCTCTTCTCATTCTAATAGATTCTCGATCACAACCCCTTCCACTATTTTCTTTGATTCGATTTCAGCTCTTCAAGGAATTGACCCCCTCCTTCCTTCTTCTCTGTTCAAAATCGCACAAGCTACCTTTCCTTCTCAAGCTGAGTTGCAGGTTTGATGGATGCGAGGTTGAGAAGGATGTGTGGGTTTGATGAGGTTCACAGAGAAAACGAGAGTTAATCTCTATTTTTCTTCGATTTGCAGGTGATTGGTTATGGTGGTTGTCTGGTGGTTTTTGTGGGTTATGGGTGCTCCAATGGTGGCTTATTTCACGAGACAAATGGTAGGAATAAGGGTGTTTGGATTGGGTTGTTGTGATATTGATTCGATGGTGATTAAGGTGGGCTATGGTGGCTGTAATGGCTGGATAAAATGTTGATGAGCAGTTGGTTCAGGAGGGTACGAATTGAGTGTGAATTGGCTTTAGAAGAAAAGGAGAGTTTTTTTTGGTACGAATTGATTCTCAAACTTATTTTTTCGGCTTTATAGGGGCACAATGTGAGTTTTTTGGTCTAAAAGGTCATTTTAGCATGGTGAACCGGCTATTACAGGTTGACATTGACTAAAAGAGCAGGTCATATCCTACTTTAGGGACCCGTAAAGCCCGACAAAAACTTTAGGGACTCAATGACTAAACCCTAGAAAGTTTGTAGGACATTTTTGTCATTTCCCCAATTTTATTATTTACCAACTTAAATAAACACTACAAAAAATATGTCATTTAGTGGCACACAAAAAGTGTCACTAAAAACCCCAAAAAAGGCCACTAAAGGCTTCTAAGAGAACCTACGACACAAATAATAAGTGTCATTAGAAACGCTCCCACTAAAACCCTTTAGTGACACTTTTAATTTTTGCCGTTGCAGTTTTTTAAGCTTTTAATGACACTTTTTTATTCAGTCACAATAGAAGAAAAGTTTTTTGTGGCACATATTTTGTGTCATTGAATGCTCATTTGATTTAAGAATTCATTCTACTTTTAATTACACATTTTAAGACTTTTAGTGGCACTTAGTTATTTTCCATAATACAAAAACTATTTTGTGGCACCTTTTACACCCATAAATACTCTAAGAGATTCTATAATTTAGGCTACTTATATCTATATAATTTTATCTATAATATAAAATATAAAATAATTAAATTGTAGCATATAAAAAATAATAAAATTTCCTTGTTTTTTATCAGTATTTTTAAACTTTTTGAATCAATTATGTCTAAATGTGGAACCAAGTACAGCTAAACATAAAGTAACGGATAAAAGTAAAAAAATTGAAACTTAATTGTAGATGAACTTCTTCCCCAAACTCCATGCTAGGTTGAATAAATCATGTTATCTCATTCTCTATAATCAAATACTAGCAATTTTATGTCCAAAAATAAACAAAGACTATTCAAAATACAGTTAAATAAGGCAATTTGTAAAAAAATAATAAAATTATGTCCACAAGAACAAACTAGAGGCAAAAGCAATAGAAAGATAAGTTGCAAAAATAAAACTTCACTAAGTACATTAGAGAAAGATAAAACAAATGTCAAGGATTGGGAAATGAATTTGCTTACACATGCAAAATATGGAACAAATTTAAAGCTTGTTCACAAGATGAAATTATGATGCTATCAAGATTCACCCTCATTATGTTGTAATTTTATTTCATGTTCTTTATAATCTTAAATCAAGAAATTTATTTGTTATCCTTTAATTTTGCAACTATTACTATGGTTGTAATTGGATGTGGCTTAGCCTTTTTGGATTAAATAACAACAAAGGCACATATGTTATGGTACAAAAATAAGAAAAAAAATGGCAAAATGATCTTTTTGGGGGTTATGTCAAACCTGTTTGATATGCTCAAACTAACAACAATGGCACAAGGATATTAACATGTGGTTTGACTATTTTAAGCATTGATCTAGTAAAGATTTAAAAGGGTATTTTGGTCTTTTTTTGGAATATGATGTTCTAAAACTTGGCATACTAAATTACTAATTAATCTAGTCCTACTTTTGTCAATATTAATTTTGGATGCATCTTGAATGAGATTAGGTTATGTGGATAAATGACAACATAAGTGGTTTAGTTTGGAATAAATAAAGGAATAAAGGGAAATTTGGTATTTTTTTGTTCTTGTTAACTACGACAAGCTCTCTCATCTCTATATGAAGTATCGAGGCTATGGCTAGCAAGGGCAAAGTATAAGTCGGCTTAATGATGATCAAGTTTGGTGCAATAAAAGTTTAAGGAATTTTATAAGAATTTGATATTTTTTCAAGAAGGTTGCTGGTGTAATATTAACTGCTATGACATTTATACCATGTTCTTTCATGAGCATAGAAGGAATGGGCATTATGGTCTTTTTTGTTACACATCAAATGTGATAGTTTTATTCATGATTATACATGTGTTGTAGATTTATAAAAATAGTTCAAAAGCCCACTCAAATGTATATTTTGCATCAATGAAAACATATCTATGTTGTAACGTCCCAAAAATGTGATCCAAAAATTTCATTTTTAATTTAATAAAACAATATTCCAAAACATTATCCATACAACCTAAGTGAAAATAAGTGTATCAAACATCATA